ACACACACACACACACACACACACACACACACACACACACACACACGGAACACGCACATGACTGCAAGGGTCCTTGTAAGTGTGATGCTCCAGAATCAACCTTCACGGCAAAGCTCATGTTCCGGTTGAGCTCATCAATACCGAGGAGATTAGTTCCAGTGTTTGTCGACCTAATCAGTACCAAAGAGATGAGCTCCAGTGTTGGCTAAGCTCTACAATACCAAGGTAATTACTTTGAAATGGCCTCTGCCTCTGCTTTATCAAGACAAGAAGAAGAATACTTCCCTTCCCCCCTGTGAAACTAACTTTCCAGCATAGCAAAAAGAACATTGCGTTAGTAAATTACCTTGGCAAGAACTAACGGAATGTTCTTTCTGTTTGAGAACCATCTCAGACAGAAAGAGACATTCCGTTAGTAAAAAAAAAACATGATGGTGATGGAGAGGAAGGAGCCGCCGCGCCTCCACGATTAGATGCGAATTCAGTTTCGCAGCCACAAACAATCTGTCAGGTGAGAGAGGGGAAGAAGAGAGATGCTCTGAAAAATTGGACATTCCAAATCAGGGCCGGCAAAAAAAAAAAAAAAAAAAAAAAGGGCTGGCAATCCATTCGGAGCTCAGCCACCGCCATCATAACTTTGATGCGACATGGTCTCTGGGAACAGTGTCATTCCCATTTCTGCTGGTCGCAGTACTCACGAAAATGAGAATGACACTGTTCCCAGAGACCATGTCTCATTTATGACTACTTTTCTTTCTTCACTTACACAACATGATGACGACAGTCCTTCCGGACATCCGTCAAAATTGGATATGATGCAGAGAAGATTATCATGGCCTCTGCGCAAGGATGACACACACAAATCAAGAAAAGGACCCCCCAAAAAAAACATTAAAACAAACACGATGAAGCCACTTCCATGGCCCGTCCATACCACAACAGTGCTGTGCTGCTAAAAGAGCAAAATTCATCAATCCACCAAGAATGATCAGTGACATGGACAATTAACCATACAAGAGAGTCTCTTCAAGGAAGTCAGTGGTTTGTATTCAAGAATGCCACTTCTGCCCTGACTCAGAAGAATGCAACTTTCTGAGACACAGTACACATGAAATAAATGGAAAGAATATCAACATTACTCCATGCTTTTCGCTCATTCTACATACTACTGGTCGATGTAAAGAAGAGACGATGGAATGTACCTGAAACCCATGCACAAACACAATGACGTGTCTGGACTGCTTGCTGTTCCTCCGCTCCCTTTCTCTTGGAATCTCGAGGGGCCTTGGATCAACCTTTGGGCTGTTGCCATTGAAACTTGGGCTGAAGGATTGTGCCGGCAGAACGTTCCCGAGAAGAGCTCCTGAAGGACTCAGGAAGCCGCTTCTGGCAATCACCTCCACATTCGATATATGACGCTCCACGAAGAGTATAGGCTGTTCTTCTGGATTTCCAAATATTTGCAAGTCCTGAAGAGGGGGTTGTTTGTACTGCTGTTTGAATGTATCACGAATTATGGAGGATATACATATAACAAGTTACAAACATATTCCTTATCAAAAGCAGGTGAGAGTTAGGAATGGAAAAAAAAAAAAAAAAAGGTGAGAATTTGACAGGTTTTTACTGCTTCCGCATTCTTGCCGTTGTAGGTGAAAGCACAGCTACGAGAGAGACAAGGTCCCAGTAGCAAAGACGATTGGATCAAGCGCCTGAATCTGGATGTGTTTCATGGAGGGATGCAGAAAAAGGCAGATCGATCACGATTTTCTGCACCTCTCCACGAACACGTCCAGATTCACAAGTTAAATCCAATCCTCTTTGCTAGTGGGGACCTCACCCAAGGCAGCATACGAATCGCCGTGCTCTGATGCTCGCTGTTATCAGAAACTTATCTGCGATGATTTTTTAATCATTTCAAATTTCGATTGAATCGTTTTTGTTTTTACTTTTTTACATCCACAATGATTCCGCTCTTTTTTTTTTTTTTTTTTTTTTCCAATATGTCTACTCTTGACGGTATTGTGAGGGTTTACGCCTTGGCATAGGGCCCTGCAGCAGGCGCGTGCCCGCCCTAAGTGAAGGCGGGCCCCCTGAATCTCAACGCGCCCTGAACTCGTCAATTTTTAGTATTTTTAAAAAATCTTGGTCGGCGCCAGACAGTTGCCACGTGCAGCTGATTACACCCGCCTTGCTCATGAGAATCCAAAATACTTGTGCGATGCTCCCTGCTTCCAGGCTCTTTTAGCAACGTGGTGGAAGCAGGGAGCATCGCACATTTGTGCCTGGGTGGTTGGGCATGCCTAACCAATTGGGTCGCAGGCCACTGTCTGAACGGGCCTGGGCGCAGACACTTTGGCCGAGACTGAAGCTACACGAAACTCGGTCTCACATGGGCCAGGCAAAGCAAAGCGCCTGCCACTTTCAATATAGGAAAGGGCAGGACGCCGGGCTCGACGTTCGGGCACTTGGTAGAGCAGGCGGCAGCGCTGCTGGAGCGGTCGCTCGCGTGCTGCTGCTAGCGCCAGTGTGACGTGCAAGGTACAGGGCGCTGCTGAGGGCAGCACCATAGCCATAGCCTACGTAGCCAGGCTGGGGCTTGGACTCGGTCAGCGGGTGGTGGTGGTCTTCGTGCATGAGAGGGAAGACGTGGGTAGGAGAAGACGAGGAAGAGAGCGAGAGACATGATGATGATGATGATGATGATGATGATGTGAGGGCACGTACCTGGTCTTGGCGATGGTCTACAACGTCGACATCTTCATGCACTTCGGTTGTTCCTGCTGACGTCAACGGTAAGCATGGCCAATTTGTAGGGTGCTAGTAGCTTACTAGCTGTGTGGTCGTAGTCAGGGCGCCGAGCGCCAAGTAGGAGGGAGGGATCTGAAGTCTGGATGCATATGTTGGTGACGGTGAGAGTATGCTCTCATTGACATTCAGATTCAGTACTTTGGTTCTCCGTTGGTGCAATATCAATATCAAATTATCAATGCATTTCTGCTCTCTGAATAGCGTTGGACTTTCCGGCTTACAATGTGATTTTGCATTCTGGATTCCTGTCATTTCGCTGTCGCGTATTTTCCTTCACAGTTTTAGCGCCTTAAATGTCAATTGAATATAAATATTAAATTCTCACTTGTTTTCAACTTTTCCTCACATATTCTCACTTGACATTTAAATGTAAAATTAAAACTGCGTAAGAGCCACGTCCGGTTTTCCACATTAAATGAAATGAAAAGTTGAAAACAAGTGAGAATTTATTACTTAATAATAGTTAATATTTATAACATTTATTAATATATTTATTCAATCATTTCAATGTCATAATTTAATGAAATTATTCCTACCTTAGACTTCTTAGTACTAGTTCTTAACTTCTTAGTTATTGAAGATGAAGATACACCACTTGAGTTTTGATTCTTTTGAATAAAAATCTCTATACATATAAAACAAAACGCGGGTCTCGCGTGACGGTCCCTCGCGAGACCCGGTTCCCTCGTGTGGGACTTCTCGTGGCGGTCATCGTTTGTGGCGGGGCCAAAGTTTTGTCGGTTCAAAGTTCTTGCAGCGAGGCCGGCGAATGTTCGAATTCTGGCGGGCCCGCGGGTGGAGCTATCGGGACAGGGGGCGTTTGCACCTGGATGTCGTATTCGGGACGGACCGGGACGTGCTTTTAGGAGGGGGGGTTGTATGGGCAGTGGGCAGGAGTGTTGTCGTGTTTCGGGTTATATCGACGTGCACTTGGACAGGGTATCGGGATAGGGGGATGTGCTGCCATGGCCGATTGTTTTGTCGTTGCGGGACCAGGTAGTGTATGTTTCCATGTTCTAGCCGAAGATTCATTGGATGTTGCTCATCCTATCGATGGAAGTAGCATGGCGCGAGCCGCGAGGTCGGAGAGTTATCGTCTCTCTCTCTCTCTCTCTCTCTCT